CGAGAGACCTTTTCAGCGGTCAGCTGCTACATTTGGTATCGAGACCTCGTAAAAATTCACGATCCTGAAGTCGTCGGTTCAACCCCCACCGATCACGTTCGAGTGGTATTTCGGGTGTGGCGACTCAGAAAGCGAATATCGCACAAACTATAAAAGTAGCTGAACCGACTGGACTGTCTCTGTGCCTGAAAAATCTGAAGACAGCTAGGCGCATGTGAGCCGGCACATGACGTGACGTGGAGTAATTACCCACTGCCCGAGGGTAGGCGAAGGTAGGCACAGGCTGGCGGTATACGAGGCTCTAAGGGCCCGGGACGGTTCCCTTCAAAGGGGGGGGGATGTAGCAGCCGATACACAATACGGTGCTATAAATACGCGCAGAGCGCGACCGCCAGCAACTCGAGAGACCTTTTCAGCGGTCAGCTGCTACAGCATATGTGCATACATCGAATGTGGCATATGCTTGCAGATCGCATCTGGCATATGCTTGCAGATCGCATATGCTTGCAGATCGCATATGCTTGCAGATCGCATATGCTTGCAGATCGCATATGCTTGCAGATCGTATATGCTTGCATATCGTATATGCTTGCAGATCACGTATGATTGCACATCGCATGTGGCATATGCTTGCATATGAAGCATTTGTGCATATGAAACACATGTGCATATGTGCATATGAAGCATATGTGCATATGTGCATATCTGAGCCATGTGGGCTGAATTGCACACTGAATTGCACGCTAAATTGCGCGTTGCACGGCGCTGTCGCAAGCGCGTACGGCATATCATAGCGCGTACGGCATAGCGTAGCATAGCATAGCGCGTACGGCATATCACAGCATAGCATAGATCGCATATGCTTGCAGATCGCATAGGCTTGCATATCGCATATGCTTGCACATCGAATGTGGCATATGCTTGCAGATCGCATGTGGCATATGCTCGCAGATTGCATATGCTTGCAGATCGCATATGCTTGCATATCGCATATGCTTGCACATCGAATGTGGCATATGCTTGCAGCTCGCATCTGGTATATGCTTGCAGATCGCATATGCTTGGATATCGTATATGCTTGCAGATCGTATATGCTTGCAGATCACATATGATTGCACATCGCATGTGGCATATGCTTGCATATGAAGCATTTGTGCATATGAAACACATGTGCATATGTGCATATGAAGCATATGTGCATATGTGCATATGTGCATATGTGCATATGTGCATATGTGCATATGTGCATATGTGCATATGTGCATATGTGCATATGTGCATATGTGCATATGTGCGTACGTGCATACGTGCATACGTGCATACGTGCATATGGAGCATATGTGCATATGTGCATATGAAGCATATGAAGCATATGAAGCATATGAAGCATATGAAGCATATGAAGAAAAAAAAAGAAAAAAAAAGCGCGCAAAAAAAAAGACGCGCGCGCGCTGGGGATTGAACCAGCGACGTGGTGGACAGACAGACGGAGAGACGGACGGACGGACGGACGGCGAATCGGCCTAAGGCCTCCGCTTTCCTACTTCGTAGGAGCTACGGCGACGAGGCGCGGTCCCTGCGGTCCCGAGGGTGCCGTAGCTCTCGTCCGGGTCCGGACACGTTCGGGTGCATCCGGACGTTCGGGTGCATACGGATTGCAAATGCTTGCATATTGCAAATGCTTGCATATTGCATATGCTTGCAGATCGCATATGCATGCAGATCGCATATGCTTGCATATTGCATATGCTTGCATATTGCATATGCTTGCATATTGCATATGCTTGCAGATCGCATATGCTTGCAGATTGCATATATGGCGCAGGTCGCATATGCTTGCAGACTGCATCTCTTTGCAGATCGCATATGCTTGCAGATCGCATTTGCTTGCAGATTGCATA